TTTTGGCACATGAACTCTCAGCTGACAAGGAACAGAATTCTCCTACTACTTCAGATTCTTCTCCTCCGTCTTCTCCTCTGTCCTCTTCGGCAGCTTTGGACTTGTCTTCTACCACTGTTACACCGGAAAAAGAGCTTCTTGGTAGAGGAAAACGTCCCAAGTTTCCGCCGGTTAAACTTGCGGACTATGTTACCACGTTACTTCATGATCCGTTTCCCTCAGTCACTCCGTATCCTTTGGATAACTACGTCTCCAGCTCTCAATTCTCTACCAACTATCAGGCTTACATACTTGCGATCACCTCCGCTGTTGAACCATATAGTTATAAAGAGGCCATTCTCGATGAAAAATGGCGTGACGCAGTTACGAATGAAATCGTCTCTCTTGAAGATTTGGGTACTTGGACAGTTGAAGATTTGCCTCCAGGGAAGAAAGCTTTAGGCTGCAAATGGGTGTTTCGTCTTAAATATAAATCCGATGGCACACTTGAGCGTCATAAGGCACGCTTAGTAGTTCTTGGCAACAATCAAACCGAAGGTATTGATTATTCTGAAACTTTTGCTCCGGTGGCAAAGATGGTGACAGTTCGTGCTTTTCTCCAACAAGTTGCTTCTATGGATTGGGAAGTCCATCAAATGGACGTTCACAATGCTTTTCTCCATGGCGATCTTGATGAAGAAGTTTATATTCAATTTCCTCCTGGTTTTCGACCCGATGATAAACAAAAAGTATGTCGTCTACGGAAAGCATTGTATGGTTTAAAACAAGCTCCTCGTTGTTGGTTCGCGAAGCTTACCTCCGCATTAAAAGACTACGGCTTCACTCAAGATATTTCAGACTACTCCTTGTTCATCCTCGAAAAACAAGATATCCGACTACATGTTCTTGTCTACGTTGATGATTTGATAATTACGGGTTCTAACGTTGGCGTGATCAATGAGTTTAAGGAGTATTTGAGCTCATGTTTTTACATGAAGGATCTTGGTATTTTGCGATATTTCTTAGGGATTGAAGTTGCTCGCAGCCCTACCGGTATCTATTTATGTCAACGCAAGTATGCTTTAGACATAATTTCAGAAACTGGTTTGCTTGGGGTTCGACCGGTTTCCCATCCTTTAGAACAGAATCATAAGCTGGCTTTGGCTTCCGGTGACTCTATGTCCGACCCAGCTCGCTATCGGCGTCTTGTTGGTCGCCTTATTTATCTTGGAACCACTCGTCCGGAAATGTCCTATGCGATACACATACTTTCTCAGTTTATGCATGACCCGAAATCAGAACATTGGGAAGCTGCTCTTCGGGTTGTACGCTATCTAAAATCGAGTCCCGGTCAAGGGATTCTTCTTCGCGCTAACACGCCATTAGTGCTTACTGGTTGGTGTGATTCCGATTTTGGTTCTTGTCCTCTTACGGATCGTTCTCTAACGGGATGGTTTATTCAACTAGGTGGTTCTCCTATTTCTTGGAAAACTAAGAAACATGATGTTGTTTCTCGCTCCTCCGCGGAAGCAGAATATAGGGCTATGGCGGACACCGTCTGTGAGATTATTTGGCTTCGTGAACTACTTCCTGCTCTTGGTATTCCATGCAATGGTCCTACAACTCTGTATTCCGATAGTCTTTCGGCTATCAGTCTAGCCGCTAATCCAGTGTATCATGCTCGCACTAAACATGTGCGTCGTGACGTTCACTTTGTTCGCGATGAGATCACCCGAGGAACCATAGCTACGAAACACATCTCCACTACTTCACAACTTGCAGATATAATGACAAAGGCCTTAGGCAAACGTGAGTTTGAGGACTTTATTCTCAAGCTGGGTATTTGCAATCTCCATACTCCAGCTTGCGGGGGGGTCTTGGGCCTCACAGCCCCTTAGCCCATTTACTTACCGCTTTTGTATATGATCAAACTAGGTCTAATCTTCTCTTTGTATATAAGGCATTGCCTTTGTATCTTGTTCAATAAGAAAATACATTTTACAATCTCAAATCCCTGTTGACAGTTATATAGTTCAGGATCCATATATGTATAACTGTATAAGCTAATCTTTTTGCAGCAAATGACCATTGTTTTTAATAAACAATTTTACTTTTGGAATAATTAGACAGAAACATGAGTTGAGCTTTGACTAGACGAAATGGAGTTGAACAGAGCCTGACACAATGTCATTTTCCTCAATAGTTGGGTTCATTTTTCGTTACCAACGTTTTAACATACATATATAATATATTTCAAAAAAAGTTATGAAATTTTAGAAGATCTACCACTATATGAAATTATAAATTAACTTTCACAAAACTAAATTTGCAGAACTAATTAAAAGATTGAAAAAGAGTCTTTTTTTTTTTTTTATATCAATTCTCTTCGACACACACACATCCACTCCTACTGATTTATCAATTATCAGTCTAAATGATTTTCTAAATTGGCTTTCTCTTTATCGCCATGCTATTTCGCTAAGCAGCATGCCTAGTGATATTTGAGCTAAATTCCATCATGATAATATAATAATAAATAAAATTTATCAATAAAATGCATGGTAATAGAACATAGTCTAATTAGCATTCACCTGTTAAGTAAATATATCAATATCTGTTCATTATATTAAAAAACATTACATCAATATATGACAACATGGTCTTTAATTCTTTATTCCAAACATTTTTGGGCTTCTACTCTTTCTATCTATTGTTTTGAAAAGAGTACTAGTCCAAAACGCAACACCCACAACCAAACCAAACCAAACGTAACATCCACACTCACAGTGAAAACCAATAAATGACCAACAAAATTAAAAATATAATCTTCACGTATAAGTCAGGGGAATTTCAAAAACCTTATTGAGCATAGGATTCTTGGCATAGTTTATCGTGCACTAGGGGTAACTTCAGTTGTAAAGTTTGTGCTCACTTCAACAGAACTTCTTGAACCCATGTCTTGTCTCCCTCCTCGCCTCGAGTTGTCTAATGTTAAACAGTGTTTTAGTTCATTACTAACTTCATACATGGTTGGTCTTTTCTCTGAAGAAGGATTCACGCACGACATAGCTATCTCAAGAGCCTTCCAGACAGAAGTTGGCTCATAATCTCTATTGAGTCTTGGATCCACAATGCTTTCAATATCTCCCTTAGTAAGCATGTATCCAACCCATGCTGCTATGTGTGTCCTTTCTCGAGTTTGCTCAATCACAGGTTGACTAGTGATGATCTCCAATAACACAATCCCAAAACTATATACATCACTCTTCTCATTCAATCTGTTTGTTCGATAATATCTGCAAAATAAGACATGGAATTTCATTGATGGTTAATAAAGGGAAACAAGCTTGTTCAAAAAAAAAAAAAAGATTAATAAGGGAAACAAACTTTGGCTAAAATTAGTTTGAGAGTGTTACACTTACTCAGGATCAAGATATCCAGGGGTACCAGCAACAGCTGTTGACACATGAGTTTCACCTCCAATCGGAAAAGATCTTGAGAGGCCAAAATCTGCGAGTTTCGCCTGGAAGTGCTCGTCCAAAAGTATATTTGTTGTTTTGACATCGCGATGTACCATTGGAGGCTTGCAACCGGTATGCAAATACTCTAGTCCTATAAATATGTAATTAAAATCGTTTATGTTAGATGGACGATATAAGCGGTTGATGGATGTTGTGATCGAAACGAACCTTGTGCTGTTTCGACGACAATTTTAAGCCTACTTGACCACTTTAATGGAGAGCCACCACGTTCTCCTATAATTTGAGTGATGTTGTAAAGACATATAACATCAAAATATGGCAAAAGATGTTTCTTATGAAATGTGGTAAATTCAAATTTACACCTGCGAAATGCTGTTTTAAGTCTCCATTGGGTGCATACTCATAGAGAAGGGCCAAGTGGCTTTCTTCGTCGCAATATCCCACCAAGCTAACCAAATTGACGTGGTGCACTCTCAAAAGAAGTTCAACCTGACCACCCATGTCCGAACAAAATTTAGAGCCATTACATGTACTTAATGAAACTAGTCCATGTTTAAATAGTTTATAACATATGTATTCTGTATTAACACAACATACCTCTGCTTTGAATTCTTTATAGCCTTGTACTGAAGATTGAGAGAGTAGTTTAACAGCTATTGGTTGCGTACCATTCAAAGAACCATGATACACTACCCCGAACCCTCCTTCTCCAAGAACTCTTTCAAAATTATCTGTCAATGCTACTACCTCAAAATAAGTGAACCTTTTTGTATGCGTATATATGGACGGTCTACTTGGTAACTCATGTTGAACTGTAGGTAAAGAATCCACTGTCCACAAAGAAAAACGAATCCATGAGACTAGGCATGCTTCAATATGCCATCATGCATGCATGTTACAAGAAGGATATATACCTTGCGTTGGCCTTTTCTTTTTGAAAACAAATATGAGAATCAGCACAAACTACTATGATGAGCACAGAAGCCGCTGATGCGACAACTGGTAAAACGTACTTTTGATTATTATTTTTGCATGACGCATCTGTACAAAGCTTTGGGTTTCCTTGGATCCTTAAGAAAATTAGTGTTGTTAAATAAACAAAAGCTTGTGGAGAGTTGATAGCAAAAAACAAAAAAAAAAACACAATGTGTGAAAATCTTACGTTAGCTTTAGCCCATTCTTTTCTCTATCATCAAAGGCTTTAGGAAGAGGACCCGTAAGATCATTCCAATTTAAATTTCTGTCAATTAAGAAAACATTACATTGACAATACCCGTAAAGTCATTCCAATAAAAATTTCAATAACTATATAAGTGGCCAATAAATGTTTGGTTAAATCAACTTACATCATCAATAATGACTTCATGCTGGCAAGAAATTCGGGCACTTCTCCAGTAAAACTGTTATTCGATAAGTCCCTAGCATTTTTAATATATAAAAGAGTCATTTACATGATAATGAAGAGAATTTTTGTTTCTCATTTCATTATAAATATATGTCGTTTTAAGATTTTTTACGCGTACTAACAAATATTCAAGTTTCTACTTGTAACATTCATTACATGTAAACCGTTATTCACTTATTTGTAAAATGTTAAGATTTTCTAATAAACATGATGGATTATCGTGTAATATATGAAAAAAGTAGTAGGCATTTACAGTTTTTGAAGCTCGGTCAAATTTTGGAAGGCAGGTGTTATGATCCCTTTTAACCCGCGTGACGATAAATCTCTGTTTTCAATATCAGACCGAATTTTAGGTATCAGATGTTTGAGAGATTTAAGTTTTAACATGAGAAAGTAAGGAATAATAATGATCTTACAAGGAAATTATTCTTGGCGGAATAGATTTGTTTGTGTAGCGACACATCAGACCTTCCCATTTTAACACTTCAGGGACGCATGGATCTCCCTGCCAACTTATCATGTTTAATCCATAAATTGCTTCGATATTCTTCATGGCAGCGACTGACATAAAGGACGAGGAAAAATTCAAGAATTAGCATACGCGATATGCCGATATTAGACATTAATTTCCTAGTAAAGATATTTATATAGATGAATGAATAGTGAAATACCATCGTTTTGATTTGTCTCAGCATATTGAAATTCCAACACCTTGAATGCTTCAATAGCATTAATCAGTGGTGGAAGAGTTGATCTTGGAGTTCTAATGAGGTCCAAGTCACAGTAGCTTAATCTGCATCTTTGTGGTGATATGTTGTATATTGTTTCCGATTGTAACACCTTAGGACTATAAGCTTTGTGAATAACAATGTCATCCAATAAAATATCGAATTCCCTAGTATCATTTGCTTTTAGGACTTCGATCTCGGCGAAATGAAAGTACACATTAAGTTTGTTACTTTTTTCGTCCCCAGACACGTAAAAGTTCAATGGTCTGGTTGAATTTGTAGGGGAAACGCCCGACCTACTTACAGCATCTGGCACTGCAAAAGGATTAGATGATGTCACATTGAGAGTGGTGTTTACATCTCTTTCAAACCAATTATATCGATCCCATATGCGATCGAGGACATCATCGGGATATCTGGAAAGGAAAAAACACAGTTCCGGTTAGCCATGCAGTCAGAATTTTATGGATCTTTTTACATTGAGTGTTAGTTTGTGGTGTGGAAACGTATCAGGTCAATTGTATATACGTATTGAAATTTATGAACTAATGAGTGAAAAAAAAAACTGCTATAAAAAATATAAGGTAGGTCTAGTTCAACTAGTTCATGTAAAGGTTACAAACTCTCTCACCCGTAATGATGGCTACGATTCTTTTGTTGAAATTATGAAATTGTTGAAAACTTGTGCCCTAAACCGCAAAATTTGTAGGTAAAATTTGATAAAAATTGTACACTAAAAAACGTACGCAAAAATAGTTATTTTCTTAATTTGAAAAATGCTGTCTATTTTTCTAACGTACGTTCTTTTGTTTTGTTTATTACATTTTTCCTCACTTATCCCTTATCTAATTTTTTTTTTTTTTTTTTTTTTTTGGAATAAGAACCCAAATATTGAAAGATAAAGACTAATTAACACTCTTTGTAGAAAGTAGGTTATTAACTTGTCTCAAACAAATTCAAAATTTTTAATATCCTTTCCTAGAAAACTAACCTACTCAAGAGAATATAGATAAAAGATTCAACGTTCATTAAGAAACTAAAAAATTAAATAAACCCATTTGAGCCTCTCTCATTAGATCAAATACAAACTCTTGATGAACAAACACTAAAAAGTTTATCAAAAAAAAAAAAAAAACAAACACTAAAAAGAAAAGAGGTTTTTGTGTTGCTTATTTTGAATATTTAGATTAGTTATAAGTTATGCAAAATAAATTTACATCACTATATGTAACTGACTATGAAATTGGTGATACAAATATTTTGCATCAGTGTTAATATGTGTTGGTTACAAAAAAAACATTTTAAATTTTGTATGTTAAGATAAATGACATTATTATTTGTTACAATTTTAACAAATGATGCTATATATTTGTGTATTTTTTCTATAATTGATGTTAAAATTGCATCACTTCAAAGTAAAACTGTCATTAAAGTTTCTTGAAAATATAGTTGCTTGCTAAAACCGACATACCGTATGGAACCGTAACTGTCGCTTGTATATGTCCGCCGGAATATTAGGTCCAAGGAACCAAGTTGGGTCATATAAGAATCATTTCTCAATGGCCGTAGTTCCAAGGTTGATATCACTGGTATATCTTCTCCTGTCTTGACAAGACAAATCTGCAATAAATTGGACTTTGACATGTGTATGATCTCATGATAAGTATCGTATCTCACATCCACTTCAGTCCACATATTAGGCCCTAAATGCATATGAAAGTTTGGATATATATTAAGGCCGTCATAGTTTCCATATGAAAATCCAGCCCTAATTAGATAGTTAATTCCCTGAGTTACTGTGAGATTTTTTTTTTTTTTTTTTTTAACAACTTCAAACTTTATTAAATTGTATAAGGTTTGTACAAGAAAGGAAGTAAATGAATAGGAGGAACAGAGTACACTCGATAGGAAGAACTAATCGACAAAGCTTCTTGAGCCATCCTATCTGCTGCACTATTCTTTTCTCGATTAACATGATCCAAAGATGAGAGGGGAAGCTTTGACATCCAATGACGTATATCATAAAGGAGAGTTACTGTGAGATTATAGCAGTTTCTTATTCCATCGGGAAAATATCTCAGATCCTTGAACTGCCTGTAGGTATAGATCTCATCATCTCCAACTTCACTGCGTTTACCACTTTTGATGAAATCGGCATCAGATGTGAATCTTAATCCGGTTAGTGGATCGGTATATGGTGACTCACCAGGGGATAAACCACAGTCCAAACTGATGAATCCTGGCAAACACGAAATATACAAAGTTTTCCAAATTGAAACACGCGTTCTCTTAAAGTAGAACATGAAACAAGCAGACATAAATTTAACAGAATATGAAACTAGAATGGATATATACCTTGTTGATCAGGTTGAGCGTGAACAATATGCAAAATCGCAAAAGCTCCAATGCTTAACGCCAGTAAAAGTTGACCATGGCCCTCCATTTTCAGGTTATCATACAAACTTTTTGATACCAAATTCTTTATCATGGTTACCGGGAATAGGACAAAATGCGATAGAATATATACATTTTATTCCAAAACGAAATTAAAGCTTCAGGTTGTACACAATACTTTATAATTCAAAATATATATGTATATATACTTTATTACGAAATAATTAAATGTTGTCACATCTTACAGGTTGGTGTGGAAAACTCGACAATGTAATCGGGACATGTTACTCCTAGCACGTTTCCAGTGGTCTGTCCAATATTATTTTACATTCATATTTCAACTAGTAGAAAGAAAAGAGGGACTAATAAATGAAATAAATGATAAAATCCTCAAGTATCACTGGATTCTTTTGAAACCCTAGTAAAATTATTAATCAAAATCAACCCACTGGTAAAATTTTGTTAACGAAACTAACCCTTCGTCTTCAATACCGTATATATCTTAAAGGGCTCCTGTTAAAACTCAAAACAAATACAACGTTTTATGTTTACAACAACGACATGTTCAATATAATAAAAATGATATCTTTAAAAATTTCCCATTTTAAAATAATAAAAATCAAATTTTATTACCTAAGTACTATATGTTAGAAATTAGAATAAAAGAATAAAATTTAAATATGATTAAAATTGGTAGTGAAAGATTACTATATTAAATATCTTATAGAGAAGAAACGAGTTGGTTAAAGAGCACGGTGGGGATTAGAATCAGGATATAATATTTCAGTTTGACACTATCACTGGATTCCAAACGTGAATCCACGAGCTGCAAGTGGTGAATCATTTAATTAACCATGTACTAAGGAGTGGCACTCACATATACTTTAGGAATTCATGGATCCAGAAGATATCGAAATTATAAGAGAAATGGCCATCAGCCAAATTTACAGACCTGATCGTCTATTATGTCATTACACAACATTTGGGAAGTATACGGTTAAATCAAGCTACCGATAGCTCAGGCGATGACATTAGAAGAGGATTGGGCCCAAACTGCACAGCTTTAAAGGCTCAAGTATGGAAGGTTATAGCTCCTCTAAAGCTCCAACATTTCATTTGGCAATTAGTCTCAGGTTCGACTGCAGTTAATTCAGGCTTAAAGCATCGTGAAATTAGCATGGTATGATAACACTTGCCAAAGATGTGGAGCAGCAGAGAAAACCATAAATCATGATTTCTTTGAATGTCCATTATATTTGAAATCTTGGGAGTTGTCCTATACCAGGAAGCTTTCCAACGAGTTCCGTATTCTCTAACATGGATTATCTATTTTGGAGATTATCCTCGAATCTAAAAGAAGACCATGTTCACAGTTTTTCATGAATACTTTGGTTTATATGGAAATCAAGGAATAAGAAGGTGTTTCAAGGTATTGAATCAGAGTCTTTAGATATATTATGTCATGCTAGAAGTGAACAATTGGTATGGGAGGCTGCTCAACTAAATCATGTGGGAGAGATAGAGGAAAGAGAAGTAATGAGAACGTCATCTCACCTAATTTGGTGTCAAATATATGGCTCGTGAAAATTAAATGATCCTTTTACAGGTCTAGACTGGATTGATGTTCAGGGAGACGCACATGTGGTACTTTTAGGGGGCAAAATGTTATAGGAGGAGTCTCTCGGCGTTTCACTCAGAGATGAAAGTTTTATTATGGGGTATAAAGAATATTCTCTCAAGAAAGATAGATTGTCAGGTTTTTGAGACAGATTGTGATGAATTAGTCTCAATGGTGCCGACCCCTGAGAATTGGTCCGCTTTCTCCAATCTCTTTGATGAGTTTGGTTTGTTCCGAGTTAATTTTCCTATATTTCTTGCTACTAAATATTTCTCGTTCTTGTAATCTCCAGGCTGATTGTTTAACGAAGACCTCTAGATCTTTACTTTCAGAAATTTCTTATATATGTAAACTCTCTTCCTCGTAATTGGGCTACCGATCAAGGAATGAATTTTTAACTAATGTGTAGTTGGAAAAAAAAGGGAAACGGGTGCAAAACAAAACTCATAATGGTAATTGTAATAACTACTAAACCATTTCACATTTTTAGGGATGTCAGCTGACTCCATTAAATTTAACGTAGATACATCCTTGGTAGCGTACCGATTGCATAACAAGGCACATAAAAACAATGTCCAAACGATTGAGTCAGGCGAATGAGAGATTATAAGGTCGGAGTGCCAGTCGAGTCTTGAATTTTTATAAAGCAGAGCAGCTTGTGCATTAACTCGGGTCAACTTTGAATGAGAAAGGGCAAGTGATGAAGGAGAACCGAATGTAACGCCCCGACCGTCCCTACCAGTGGGCCCCACGTCCTCTCTCGGGCCCATGGGCCCACCTCTGTCCGACGGCCGGTCCGCTAAGTCCGGGAGACATTAAAGACTTGTTTACCAACCCTACAAATCACCACATGATTTTTTCCTGTGTTTTGTCCTCACTCACACAATTCCGACAATCACTTCCCGGAAGGTCACCCATCCTGAAACTACTCCAGCCCAAACACGCTTAACTGTGGAGTTCTCTCAGGACGTTTGATCGAAAAGATAAGTGCACTTTGGTGACATAGGTGGCCAAATCAATTATTTTAAACCTCTCCGCATGCACCACCATATTCCTGAAACCGGGGTGTTACAATTCACCTCCACTAACAGATCGCAACGTCCTCGTTGTGCACCAAGACCGTCACCCCCTACGGTGTGATCCCTCTTGACTCCACACTCGTCTAGGTTCGGCTCTGATACTACTTGTAACGCCATAACCGTCCCTAGCAGTGGGCCCCACGTCCTCTCTCGGGCCCATGGGCCCACCTCTGTCAGACGGCCGGTCCACTACGTCCGGGAGGCTTTAAAGACTTGTTTACCGACCCTACAAATCACCACATGATTTTTTTCTGTGTTTTGTCCTCACTCACACAATTCCGACAATCACTTCCTGGAAGGTCACCCATCCTGAAACTACTCCAGCCCAAACACGCTTAACTGTGGAGTTCTCTCAGGACGTTTGACCGAAAAGATAAGTGCACTTTGGTGACATAGGTGGCCAAATCAATTCTTTTAAACCTCTCCGCATGCACCACCATATTCCTGAAACCGGGGTGTTACAATTCACCCCCACTAACAGATCGCAACGTCCTCGTTGTGCACCAAGACCGTCACCCCCTACGGTGTGAGCCCTCTTGACTCCACACTCGTCTGGGTTCGGCTCTGATACCACTTGTAACGCCCCAACCGTCCCTACCAGTGGGCCCCACGTCCTCTCTCGGGCCCATGGGCCCACCTCTGTCCGACGGCCGGTCCACTACGTCTGGGAGGCTTTAAAGACTTGTTTACCGACCCTACAAATCACCACATGATCTTTCCCTGTGTTTTGTGCTTACTCACACAATTCCGACAATCACTTCCCGGAAGATCACCCATCCTGAAACTACTCCAGCCCAAACACGCTTAACTGTGAAGTTCTCTCAGGACGTTTGACCGAAAAGATAAGTGCACTTTGGTGACATAGGTGACCAAATCAATTTTTTTAAACCTCTCCGCATGCACCACCATATTCCTGAAACCGGGGTGTTACACCGAAAAGCACATAATGAGAAAACTACATTGTCTCCAAATGAATCTGTTTCGTTCGACTCGAATCTGCTCCCAAGTGTTTCTCACCGAGAAGTAAGGCTTAAAATTAATGGATGTTTGCTATAAGATAATATCTGGCTCTGAATCTGAATTGTGAATTAAAGTTGAGTGAATAGTTGTAGGCAACTCCCGAATTTGTGGCCCATGATCACAACCCAGCACGTGGAGCAAGAGCAAGCATGCAAACTAATAGGTTAAGAGTTCCTCTTGCCTTTATGAAGAAGAAGATGAGGACAAATGGGAGAAGAGGAAGTGGCTAAGAGTCTGTTAAGTGAACAACGGAGAAACTGAGAAAAAAGGCAACTAATTAATATTCAGTAATATCAGTTCTACGTCGTTTAAATTCTCAGTTACATTTATGTGATTTTATTTAAACCTTGATTCCTGATTACTAGGGTTTCCTTATCTTACAAAAAGTATTATTCAAAAACATTTCCTCTCTTATCTCTATTCTCTCCTTGGTTCTTCACTTTTCTTCTCTAGTTCTTCAATCTAGTCTCCATGTATTTTGAAATTTGCATTCTCCATCTTTTATCTCTTTCGTGGACGTAGCCAACAGAAAAGATTGGTGAACCACGTCAAATCTGTGTCATTTTCTTATGTTTATTTTATCTTACCCACAAGCACAAGCGCGATTTAATTTATCGATCGACTCATGTCGGAAGATTTGACTTGAATTTTTTTTGTTTGGGTTCACAAGCAGTCGACTGATTTGTGAAAGTTGTGGACCACCCATCTTGTTTTTTTCCTCACCACTTGTTCCCATTCCAAAAACCCCGGTAATCAAGATCTCCCCATAGCCGATTGTAGCTAGAAACAGCGATCACATGTTAAGTTAACTAGCACACTTAAAAGGTTTAATATTTTTCTCCAAAGGAATTCATGTATAGAAAATTTAAGAGTAGGGAAGAGGGTAACTGAATATGATTCCTAATTTGCAATATTCCGTTTATGAGACCCATTTATCCAAAACTCAAAACCTTGCACTCCTATCACTAATTAAGAGCTAATATAAACCCATTTGCAATCTTCCGTTAAAATTAAAATAAAAACCAAATTGCCACATGTTGCCGTAATATTACAACGATCACAAATATAACTAAACAATGAACAGATATAATACATATATTAAGTCCTTAGTAATAGGAGTGCTGGCAGAAGTTACCGTGCATCAGGGATAACTTCGGCTGTAATTATCTCGTGGTTAAGTTCCACAGTATTCTTTGAAGTCATGTCTTTTCTCCCTCCCTGGCTTGAGAACTTGAGTTAGATATTAGACACTCTTTTAATCCATTAATAACTTTAGACATGTTTGGCCTTTCCCCTGAAGCAGGATTTACGCATGACATTGCTATTTCGAGAGCTTTCCAAATAGAACTAGGATCATAGTCCTTATTGAGCCTTGGATCC